AGAGAGAGAGAGAGAGAGAGAGAGAGAGAGAGAGAGAGAGAGAGAGAGAGAGAGAGAGAGAGAGAGAGATGGATCTCAGCGAGTTTTTGAAGGTGCTTAGCATGGTCCGAGGTCGGTCGTTCTTGATGCGGATAGAGGAGGATCTGATCAAATTCGTGGAGACGAAGAGCCGTAATCGATCTGGCGATGGCGGTCCAGAGGGGAGCTCTGGCTATGGCTGTCGTGATGAGGGAGGGCGTGAAAAGCAGGCTAACGAGTGCAAGCTTGGCAGGAATGACGACTATGTTGTTGATAGCAGCTTGAGCGGACCGTCGAAGGAATCGATGGATGGCGCAAAGATGGCGGGGGAGAGCGGAGGAAAGGGGAACCTCGAGCGCGCGGCTGCGCCCCCCCCCCCGCCGCCACCGCCACCGCCACCGCCACCGGCGGAGGAAAGCGCAAGCGCTGGGAAGAAGCGGGTAAGCCACGCTGTGATTCTCTTCTCTCAACTTTTAGTTCTTTCTTTTGTCTGTTTTATTCTTTTCCTCTTCCCACTTTGAGGTGACTTACGCAGCGGTAAAGTTATCTATTTTACTTGGTACATAAGCGGGGTTAATGTAATCGCTGTACGCGGTTAATTTATCTATTTTACTTATGTAATCACTATACGTAAGCGGTTAATGTAATCACTGTACGTGGTGAATTTATCTATTTTTTTCCTCATGTAATCACTATACATAAGCGGTTAATGTAATCACTGTACGTGGTTAATTTATCTATACATTAAGCGGTAAATAGTGTAATCACTATACATAAGCGGTTAATGTATCTATATACATACAGCGGTAAATAATGTAACTATACCGTAAGCGGTTAATGTATCTATATACATACAGCGGTAAATAATGTAATCATTGTAATCGGTTAATGTGTCGATACATTCGCCGTGTTTGCTACTGAATAATATGACTTAGTACGAACAGTCATATAATAATACTGATAATAATAATAATAATAACAATAGCAATAATGAAATATATAACATTCTAAAAAAATAATTGGTCAATAATATAGAATTTACGAATAAAATGGAATGTAATAGCGCTCTAATTTAAAATATATAAATACTTATCATTATGGTTGTCATTAGAAAATATAAAAAAATACTTCTTATTATTGCTGTTATTAGAAAAGAACGAGAGAGAACAACAGCGCCATACATACATACATACATACATACATACATGCAATACATACATGCATACATACATACATTATGATATGTATAGGGTTCAGCCTCCTGAAGTCGGTGAAACTCCGACGAAACAGTTTGTCACAGCCCCTCGTTTGTTGTCCTCCTCTGTTTGTCACAGCCGCTGGTTTGTTTTCCTTCTCTGTTTGACGATATATGGTAACCGATTCGGATCTGCGGGCAGACCTATCAAATATCTGTGGTTTGACAGCCACAAATGTCTGCCTAGCTCAATGGCTTATCAGCGTCAATGTTATACTGCATCCCAATTTGTTGCGATTGCTTATCAGCTTGACGCTGTTGAAAATCAGTTGCTGTATGATCATAATAGTCCACCTCCTGAGGGTAGGGAGTAACTATACTCTACCTCAGTAAAGGGCTTTACTGTAAATGTCTTACAGTTAGCGTTTCACGGCCGCCACCTTCTTATGCATCATGCGACGCCAGGCGAGGACCTCAATAACCATCCTCATATTTCTGCCTGCATTTTACACAGACCCGGGCATTATATGGCACTCATTCGTGCAGCTGCCCAGTGGGAACTGTGGGATGGTGGGACGATGAGTCAAGCTATTTTTGACGTTAATGAATTTTTGGGTGCATTGTCGAATCATACTTTATTTTGGATTATTGACCGACTCTCGTGTGACACCTGTCGGGACAGAGACGCGGTGCGCCTTGGCTGTGGAATGCATCATCTATGCCATAGCCATTATCAATCTATTGCGACTGCCGCCGTCTGTACTGAAGGGTGTCCAACATTTCCTCGCTGTACACATCCCTATCACCCAGATATACGTTGTCCCTTTTGTGCCCAAGGACGCTATCAGAACTGTATGATGCCGCACTGTGATGAACGTCCTGCYGTGTTTTTGACATGTGGMYGTGTCAGGACTGTTTTGATGGGATGGTTCGTGCTAGCCGTCCTGCWGAATGCTGTGCTGGCGCAGCTCTCCTTGGGTATCCTTGTGAACATCCACATCATCCTCACCGTAGCTGTCCTATCTGCCGAGGTGGGAACAGTTAAAGGAAAAAAGAAAAAAAGAAAAAAAGGAAAAAAAATGAATAAAAAAGAAAAAAAGAAAACAAGATAGAAAAAGAAAAAAAGAGAAAAAAGGAAATAAGAAAGTAAGGAAAAAGAAAAAATATGTTGACCTGTGGGATGTGTTATTTGCTTTGTGACAATTGGATTATCTGTGGGAGGTTTCCTCCTCCTTTTGTTTACCTCTTTTTTGCCTTTTGGCTGCGTGCAAGTGGGTCCTTGTGACACACGAGGATGGGGGCAGCCAGCGCTCAACCTGTCATCCACGTGGCTGGCCTTGTACGTAAGAGGTGATGAACAGTTGGGGCTTTCCTTCCTTCCTTCTTTTCCTTTCCTTGTTTTGCTTTTTTTCGCCTTCGCGCTCTGATTTACAGTGTGACAATATTTCTCTTTTCTTTTTTTCGCTTTTGCGCTCTCATATTCATGTGATAATATATATATATCGTCACAAACAGAACTGCCCGGTAAACCGTCGGCAGAGAGAGAGAAGAGGACAACAAACGAGGGTCTGTGACAAACTGTTTCGTCGGAGTTTCACCACTCATCAGGAGGCTATATATATATATATGTGCTTCCTTCCTTCTTTTCCTTTCCTTGTTTTGCTTTTTTTCGCCTTCGCGCTCTGATTTACAGTGTGACAATATATCGTCAAACAGAACTGCTCGCTAAAACGTAGGCAGAGAGGGAGAAGAGGACAACTAACAAACGAGGGGCTGTGACAAACTGTTTCGTCGGAGATATCCTTTTCTGTTTTGTCTTTTTTTGCTTTCGCGCTCCGATACACGGTGTGACGATATATATCCTTTCTTTGTTTCGTGGGTGGGTGTTTTGCTGGCTTATCTTGTGATGATGGCCGGTGTGAACGGACAGTCAGTCTGTAGAGTTTTCGATCTGGTGTGGGTGAGTGATAGTCTGCTTTGATTTTCGTCACGGGTACGTACCTTGAGGGCAGTGGTTGGTGGTCCCCACCACCTCAGGGTATCATCAGTTTTCGGGCAGTCGTTGATGCTTAACCACAGCCGGGGTTAAGTTAAGGTGGATTATCACTTACAGTGTAATGATCAGTTAGGGGATTCTGCAGACTGTTTTTGAGGGTTCAGCCTCCTCCTGATGAGTAGGTAGGTGAAACTCCGACGAAACTGTTTGTCACAGCCCCTCGTTTGTTGTCCTCTTCTCCTTCTCCCTCCTGCCTACGGTTTACCGGACATCTTTGTTTGGCTTTATACATATATACACTTTTTTATATTGTTATATACATATATATACACGCATATCGTCAAACAGAGCTGCCCAATGGATATTACTGTAATTTATTAGCTAATTAATTAATTAAAATTACTTAATTGATTAGTAACTGTAAGTAGGTTGTATGGTGGTTCTGCCTGGATCGATGAATCATCCATTGGGTCCATTTGAGACACCAACTGAACTGCGTGACACCCAAGAGAATGAAACAAATATTAAACAACACAAATCTAGCGAATAAGGGCCTCGCTCCACCACTCTCGAAATGTGCAATAGAACAAGGAAAGATTTATCGCCATGATTTTTGTCTTTTGTGCATTTCCGGAGTAGTGGAGCGACGCCCTAAATCAGGCACAGTGGCGAAAACGGTTAAGTAAATAACGAAAAAGCCCCACACAATTTGCCCGAAATTGACATGGAAAAAAGGAGTAAATCGGTCAGTTGAACCAGAAAGGATTCGATCCCGTGATCCGACGATTCGAGTGATTCGTTGGTTGGTGTATGTGCTCGCTTGGGTGATGAAGGGCAAACTGCATCTGCTCGTAATTGCAGCCAGGTGCATTCCAAAAACTGCTTCAAAGGGTGGGTATATATGCCCCCTAATGGATAAACAAATTGCCTCAGCGTAGCTACCGTCTTCACCCGAATAGAACGCCCGGTCATTACTGCTATGTATTTGGCACAACTTTCAGTCCACATACTGATGTAATTACCGGGCGTTCTATTAGGGTGAAGTCTGGGCAATCTTTGCTGTTTGATTTGGCAGGAGAGAATGTCTCGCCGGAGTTTCACTTCCTCATTAAGAGGCTGAATATATATATAATATATAATATATAATGTATTACATAATATATATATTATGTAATATATTATATTATATATATTATATATATTATATATTAGGTATAATGTATCACATAATATATATAATATATAATATATTACATTATATATAATAATATAATTATATATATTAGATAATATATATAATTATATATATACGCTTGCTGGCTGCAGTGGGAGACCAAGCGGCCCCTGAATCGGAACTTGTTTTCATTGTATTCTTGCCTTGGGCACTGGGCCCGTTTTTAAGATTTATATAAATAATATAATATAATATATAATATATAATATATAATATAATATAACTATATAATATTTTATATAGTACAATATATTTATCATATACATTTAACGTGAATAAATTACACTAGAGTGTTAGCTGTAGTTTGAGAATCTGTTCGATTTCAAAAATAGGTGATCGTAGGCGCCAGTCGTTCTACAGGATTCTTTTCCAGATTTTATTTTTTTCGTCTGTTTTTTTTCTTTTTTTCTTTTTTTTAAATTCTCTTATTATTTCTTAAGAGCCATCTCTCTTCTTTTTCATTTTCCCCTTAGTTTCTCAAACGTGCCTCAAGCAAGATGTGAAAACGCCTCTTGTTTTCACATTTGGCTTTTTTCTCTTTTTCCGCTCCTCTCTACAATAGCAACGACCTTCTTCCCGTTACCTACCTAGGGGTTCGCTCCACCTCTCACCACGTGCACAAAACAACAAAAAAAATGGCCTTGTCTCTTTCCATCTTCTGGCGTAAGAGTCCTCATTTCGCACATTCGGTGAGTGTTCGGTGAGCGTTCGGTGAGTGTTGGCCCGAGGCCCCTGCTCTCCCCCCCTAATCTTTCCCTTCCGTGATCTTCTGTGCAGTGTGCACCCTTTTATTTTCATTTCCGTCTCCAGCCCGTGGCGCCCCCT